GTATCCTGGTATTCTGGCAGCCTAACAACACAAATGATGAAAGACCCCCCCTAAAAAATGATTGTCATTAACCATCTGCGAGAGATTGTGTTTCCGAATGCAGATTGATTAGCAATTAGGACAATTGTCGACGAGCTCCCCAGCAATATTTCAACCTCCAGTTGTCTCTGTGCTGTGCTTTTGAAAGCAAATAGATGTGATGCTCTACTGTCTCCATGGTGTTTCTTGGAACGATTGTGCGCTTTGAATAAGGCACGACGCCCAATTAAGCTGGCTTTGTTTTCCTGTGATGGCTTGCTGATCATGGCTTCACACGTTCGCTGCTGCTGAATCACGGTGTGCTGCATTCTTCTTATTATCAGAATTATTTTCTAATTTGTTACCCACCGTTCACTCTAAGGCCCCAGGGTGGGCTACAACAATTAAAAAAGCCATTAGTATTAAAACACAATATTAAAAGCAGTGGGGAAACAACTTAAAATTACACCTCGAGTGTCAAAAGAGGTGCATAGTTCAACAGCACTTGTATAATGAAGGTGCCAGAATTCATTTTGAGGAGAGAGTTTCACAGCTTAGGGGCCACCACAGAGAAGACCCTATTCTGGGCTGCAACTGCCAAGCATCTTGGGGTGGAAGAATAGTTAAGAGGGCACACTGCACCAATCCTAGCACCCCAGAGGCAGACCCTCCAAGTGTCCCTATTTCCAGTGCCAGTCCTGGATTTACAGAAGCCATCCCAGAATGTTCACTTTTCCTTAGGGCGTCCCTATTTTCCTCAGAGATATGTTGGAGGGTATGGAGTTATGCGACCAATCGGTAGCAATGCAATCTTTAGAAGATATCAGAAGGCAGCCCTGTCTAGGGAAGTTTTTAAATGTTTAATGTTTTATTATGTTTTTGTATATGTTGGAATGGGATGCGAGTGGTGCTGTGGTCTAAACCACTGAGCCTCTTGGGTTTGCTGATCAGAAGGTCAGCGTGACGGAGTGCGTTCCTGTCGCTCTGTCCCAGCTCCTGCCAACCTAGCAGTTCGAAAGCACACCAGTGGATGTAGGTAGATAGGTAACACTGTGGCGGGAAGGTAAATGGCATTTCCATGTGCTCTGGCTTCTGTCATGGTGTTCCAGTGCGCCAGAAGCAGTTTAGTCATGCTGGCCACATGACCTGGAAAGCCATCTGAGGACAAATGTCAACTCCCTCAGCCTGAAAGTGAGATGAGCTCTGCAACCCCATAGTTGCCTTTGACTGGACTTAACCGTCCAGGGGTCCTTTACCTTTTACCTTATATGTTGGAAACTGGCCAGAGTGTCTGGGGCAACCCATTCAGATGTTGTTGTTGTTGTTTAGTCGTTTAGTCGTGACCCCATGGACCAGAGCACGCCAGGCACTCCTGTCTTCCACTGCCTCCTGCAGTTTGGTCAAACTCTTGTTAGTAGCTTCGAGAACACTGTCCACCCATCTCGTTCTCTGTCATCCCCTTCTCCTTGTGCCCTCCATCTTTCCCAACATCAGGGTCTTTTCCAGGGAGTCTTCTTGCAGTCCATGGGACTCTCAAGAGTCTCCTCCAGCACCATAATTCAAAAGCATCAATTCTTTGGCGATCAGCCTTCTTTTATGGTCCAGCCTCTCACTTCCATACATCACTACTGGGAAAATCGTAGCTTTAACTATACGAACCTTTGTTGGCAAGGTGATGTCTCTGCTTTTTAAGATGCTGTCTAGGTTTGTCATCTCTTTTCTTCCAAGAAGCAGATGTCTTTTAATTTCATGGCTGCTATCACCATCTGCAGTGATCATGGAGCCCAAGAAAGTAAAATCCCTCACTGCCTCCATTTCTTCCCCTTCTATTTGCGAGGAGGTGATGGGACCAGTGGCCACAATCTTCGTTTTTTTTATGTTGAGCTTCAGACCACATTTTGCACTCTCCTCTTTCACCCTCATTAAAAGGTTCTTTAATTCCTCCTCACTTTCTGCCGTCAAAGTTGCGTCATCTGCATATCTGAGGTTGTTGATATTTCTTCCGGCGATCTTAATTCCGGCTTGGGATTCATCCATCCCAGCCTTTTGCATGATGAATTCTGCATATGAGTTAAATAAGCAGGGAGACAATATACAGCCTTGTCGTACTCCTTTCCCAATTTTGAACCAATCAGTTGTTCCATATCCAGTTCTAACTGTAGCTTCTTGTCCCACATAGAGATTTCTCAGGAGACAGATGAGGTGATCAGGCACTCCCATTTCTTAAAGAAATGGGAACCCATTCAGATGGGGTGTGGGTATAAATAATAAAAATATTATTATTATTATTAATATTTTTGAATAGGCTGACCCTATTTTTTGGAGAAATGTTGAAGGGTATGCAGAGGCTCTGTTGGGAAGAACTTTATCTCCATGTTGTGCACAATTTAAAAAACTTCTGTCATGTTGCCTCTTACTTGCCTGTGTTCTAAACTGAAATGTCCCCAACGGTAGAAGCTTTCTTTGTAGGGGATTCATTCCATCGGATATCATATTCTAGACTGATCCCCAAACTGTGGAAAGGTACCACCTCAAATGTTTTCCAAGATGGAAACAGCTGCAGAAATGAATGGAAAGGTTTCTCATAGGCCAAAAATGCATTGTCTTGTTCTCCTGCAGGTTCTGGTAGAAATATCTGCAGTTTGGGTTGTTAACCACTACTCCTTTCCATGTGTTGTTGCTCCATTCTCACCTTCTTGAATAGACGCCAAGTCCTGAGAAGGAGCAGGGAGCTTAATTACCCTCGACAAAAGAAAAATCAATTAACTTGGCTGCTCAGATCCTGTTCGCTATGTGCTATTGGATTGAGCTTGCTGCTTTGTCATCTCAGCGCTGTTCACTTGCAGAAAACATGGCCTTTTTTAAAATAAAAAAAAAGTCCTAGAATCAATTACAAAAAGAATAGAATGTACTATGCATGCTACGGTAGGGAAGGAATGTCAGATGACGTTGGAAACAGAGTGAGACAAAACTCCATTCTGATTCAATATGAGAAAAAGCGACAGCCACTATTATAGACACAAATCTCGTTCAAGATGTGTGACCGTTGGGTTAGATTCGAGAGTATAGTGATAATAAGAGTGAATGTGTGTGTGTGTGTGTGTGTGTGTATATATATATATATATATATATATATATATATATATAATATATATGCTTTCGTAGATTTTCACGGGTACAGGAATGCAGGTTTTGTGTCCTCGGGTGTCTTCCCGTGTAGAAGTTGGGGTG